GTCCCGTCTCTGCCATAGTCATGGACTTGCTGGGAAAGCCGGAATTCTTTTCTGTCGACCAAATAAAGCGTGCTTTGGAACATTTCCCTGCTGCGTCTTTGTAAGTGAATCCGATCATCGTATTTTTCTTGGGGAAGCTGTGCATTGTTTCGTGGAAATTTGATTATGAATAGGTTCTCATTCAGATTCTTTTTGATTTGCAGTTGCCTTCGATCATGTATGTGTTCGTAAACTGGATGTTCTAGAAAAAGTAAGCAAATTCTTAAACGGAGACGCAAAAAAAGTCAAATTAAAGCTCGCACACAATCTATTGAAATGTGTTGAAATTAAATTTTTTCTACATGAAATGAGTAGCGCGCGAATTTTGAAAAGGAGAACTTCGGAGAGAAATTCGCCGAGTGCTTTGCAGGTACTGCCCTGTGTATGCTGGTTAAAACGCTGTCATTCATCCTCTTAAAAATATGGATACTGTATCTTGTCGCAAAATGTTTTGTATTTTTTTGTGGACACAAAAATTACTTTCTATAGCAATCGTCGGAAATGATTATTCCACTGCTGAAAATTGGAAATTCATAACAAAGTTCGGTTTTCAGCTCCTTGAAACATATATTTTTGGGAAGGAAAGGTAATTTTCACCAAAAATGAATTCGAATGAATAAATCAGCAGCCAGATTAATGGAACATTGTTTCACGACGTGTAGGATTATTTTTATCCCTTACGTAAAGTTCGCTTTAATATTTCTGGCTACAAGTGGCGTAAAATTAGAATTTTACTGGCGTAAAATTGAAGGAAATTAGAGGAAGCGTCAGTTCTCTCGCTTCATTTTAAGTGTTGTATCAGATAAATTCAAGTTATAGTTCCCTGACTAATGATTACAGTATCTCTTTTTCTCCTGTCTTGCAAAGGTTGGCTGAGAACAAACCGATCACGAACAATCGTCAAGAGTGGATCCGTCATGTGGCCACTGTCTTGAGGGCGGAACACAAAGGTGTCTCGATTGATAATGTTTTGGACGAGTTTGCTGGTTCCAGTGAAGTGGATAAGCCCCAGAGTCCCGGATTGATGGGAAATACGGGCCTCTTCGGGGATTCGAATGGAGTTTATGGTGGTGAAAGCGAGCGGATGGATGACGATGCACTCGTCGCAAATTTCATTCAAAATCCCATCATGCAAGCCAGGCACGATAATTGGGGTAAGTTTAAATTGTAACTTGGTTATAC